TTGGGAAGGCTTAGCCTTCCCTAGCCTACAGCACCCGCCGCCCCTGCTGCCCATACAGACTGCAGCAGGGACCTGTTGAAGATGTCTGTGAACACCTTCAACAGGTCCCTGCTGCAACATGTCCCCACATGTTTTAAACACTCCACCATCTTTCCTGTCCCCAATAGCTGTTAGCTGCTCTTGATGCTGGTGAATTAGGCTGCCTTGGGCCGACAATGCAGTCTGGAGTGCTTTTTGGGTCGGCTGGGTTCATTTTTGGTCAGTTCGTTCTGTCAGGACCTCGACACAAACTGATGAACCCAAATGCACGACCCAGAGACAAAGTCTTGAGTGTAACTAAATGTAATATTAATTCCAAAGATCAGGTAATCCCTCCAAACAGAGTAGGTACTGGAAAAAACCAAGCATAACAAAAAGAGAACTTAAAAAAAACTACAAAATTAACAAAATAACAAAACCTGACATGAGTGAAAGTGATCCTTTCTGAGCTGAGGCTTGGCACGACCATTCGGGGAAACAAATAAGACAAACTGACACAGGACAGGGGAGAGACAGGACTATTTAAACATGAGGTGAGTGAGAACAGGTGGAAACAATCAGGGGCGGGGCAGACACTGATGATGGCGTGAAAAAACATGAAAATGACAGACATAATGCATAAACATAACTAACACATTTGACGAGACACAACAATGTGCAGCAGTTGTAGTTTCTAAACAATAACTGCTGCAGATCAATTACAGTCTTTTCCTCCAGAGAGGCACTCTGAGAGTTGTGCAATGAGGAGGAGGAAGTTTTGCCAGAGGTAGAAGTTGAATTCAAAAGTGATCCCCACATCAGGATCTGTGAGGCACAGAGACCGATGTTCAAAGTTGTCCTCATCAGGAGAGTTTCTTAAATGTTTTGTATGCTTTCTAATTCATATGAAAGTCCATCGTTACTTCCTCACGCGATAGTTTGTACATGCTCTTTGGGCCTGAAGAGCAGTGGGCACCAGAACTGTGGCTGAAAAGAGAATAAAACATGCGTTTAAGAGATGTTTAATTACTTTTCAAATGTGGTCTTTATTATTTATATTGTTTAAGAAATAGTGGGAAAAAATCAGGGAAATAAATCAAATGTATATATTTTTTTCATCTGTGTTTTAGCGTGTGATGTGTTTTCATTATGATCATTATTATAATGGCTAAAGTGTATCAACTACCACACATTCTAAATACTAAAAGCATTCATTATTCCTGCTTTAATGTTATCATGCACTCTATACCCAAGGCACATATATTGTGTCTTAACCAGGAAACAAGATTGCTTTTAGACTTATTTAGAAGATGAGAGGTGCACTTCATCCTCTTGAGGCTGAAAAGAAAACTAGGGCTAAAGCACTTAGCCAAATCATCCTGACAAAAACTTCTTTATTACAACCTCTTTAGACTGATGGGAAAATATTTGTGGCAATCTTTTTTTGTTAACTTTTTTCTCCATTATGTTGGCCTCTTTAAGAGATGCTTCTGTACGCAAAGAAAAACAGTAAAGCATACCTTTAGATACAGTGATGTGTAGCCAGAGTTGTTTTTCTCCTTTCTCTTTTTTAATCTCTTCCTCAGGATTTTGGCATACAGGTACTCCACCCTCATCTCCGCTGCGTTGCTGTAGAATTGCTCACACACCATGATCCTGATCTGTGAGGCTTTGGCAGCAATCAGAGCCATGAGGAGCAGGAGGAGCAAGATGGCCGCCAGAGGAACGATAGAGTTATAGAGCAGCAGTTTGGGTTTAGGGAGGCATGTCTTCTCAAACAGGGTCACAGAGTAGGAAAAGTCTTCTTGATGGTTTTCCTCGCCAATGGGTATGCCTATTAAAGTTGCAATCTCCTGAAAAGACACATGAATAATAAATACTCTGTATACTGCAAATCAGAAGGTCTTTAAATGGGCCCTATTGTGCTTTTGTTTTTTTTCTCCTTTCCTGTAGTGTGTTATATATGTTTCTGACATCACTATGTAACACTCACACTTCTATAGATGAGAGTAACACATCAATTCGGGGTGAAATTACGGCCCCGCCCACTTTTGGGGGAAAACATTCACTGTCCTTTGGCGGTAAATACAGATGCTGAAGTTTTCGGCAATCACATGTAATTTAGCCAGAAAGTGACGTATGTGTTACTCTTATCTATTGGCTAGCGTTCCAACGTATTGTATGTGATAAGCTAAGGGCTGGGACATCTCTAAGCTGTTGACCAATCACAACAGAGCCAGCCAATCAGAGCAGACTGAGCTCTGGTTTCAGACAGAGGGTGAAAAGAGGTGCTGCAGCACAGGCAGTATGAGAACAATAAAGAGCTTTTTGAACATTGAAGCATGATGACATGTCCCAGGAGACACTAAATACTGATATGAACCTGAAAAGGAGCATAATTAGGCCCCAAAACAAAAATACTCACTTTGATGCTCACTATCAGCGGGATATGGAACGGCTCCAGTTCGGATAGTTTTTTTGTTACAATGTCGACAAACAGGTACAATAAGGCATCCACGGTTATAAATATGACCCAAGCTGCAAGATGGGAGGCGACCGGAACTCCAAACTTCAGCATGGCTTTCCCCTCTCTGGTGGTGGGACGGGCCGAGAGGAGGGGGGTGTACAGCTCCTCTTCCTCAGGGGTGAGGGGGAGGACGTGGGGCTTCCCTTCCGCCCTCTGCTTCTCGTCAAAAGCGACAAACCTCCGGCTCACGAACCTGTTTTGGTATTTCATGTCACTGCGGTATCTTTTTATGTGCAGGGCTATAAACATCATGAGCACGAGGAAGCTGAGGGCGGGGAACATCTTCTCGCTCACAGAGGAGACTGTGTTCATAATGGACTTCACATATTTCACCGTGGCGTTCAGCTTCTGCTCCGCCTCACCGAGCGTCACCTGGAACTTTTCTGATTCCAGTCTGGGGAAAACCTTGAGTTGGGGGTCAAGTTTTAACACCCCTAAGTCTGTAACCCCCTTTAGCATGTTTCCTAGCCACTTTAGCATCTTCACATATTTGCTAAACGGAGCAATGACGGCTGCTTTCTTGGCCTGCAGGTTGCAGATCATACTCCGGACCAGACCTGTGGTGTTCTCCAAGGTGTTGCGAATGTTTCTTAGCAGCACTAAACTGGTGCCGGCGGTGAGGAGAAGGTTCCGGCTCTTCTTCATGAAAATAGAGATCACAAATAGAGTCCCTAAGCAACGTACCCTCTTTGATAGGAAGAGGGCAACTGTCAGGAGGGTCCCGAAGCAGCAAGAGATCCCTCCAGACACAGCTAGATCATAGTTCAGCGTGAGGAGGAGGTATAGGAAGAGCAGCAAGCTGAGCAGGAGGCTGGAGACGCTACAGGTGAAGAGCAGGAGGAGCGTTCTTTGCAAGCCATCCCTTTCAGCGGTTGTGAAAACATCCACAGCCAGATAACCGCTCTCCTTGAGGGTCTGTTTCCATGAGATTAGCATCCTGAGCTAAGATTGAATGCAAAAATGTATTACAATCTCAAAGTGCAAACCTGTTGTGTAGAGCAAGACATCTATTCTCGTGCATGTGTTCTACAGTCTCCTTAAATACGGCTAAAACAGGAAGTCTTCGGCCTCCTCTACCCTCATGAAGTCGTTTGTCATTATCCAGTCATCCCTATTTTTTAACCAAAAGCAGAAGCAAACAGAGACCTCATGCAAGACCACATTGTGTGTGAGCGTGTGAAACTTATTTTATTTTGTGTAGGATTGAGAAGCTGCATGACACTAATGTTTGAACACTTTCCGATTACTTTATGGAAATTCCAATTACAGTAAGTCTAATAAAAGCTCTACAGAACATTTTGGAAAGGGGAGGTGAAATTCGCAATAAGGAGTCATTAGGGTTAGGATTTGTAAGATGAGGTAATATTGTCATCACTAAAGTTACTATAGTATATATAATATATATTATAGTGTTACTATATTGATCAAGGTTAAAAGATAGCTGCTTTCAAGGAATTGAGAACTTTTAACGGAATAGATAATAACTAGATGTTGCCCGGTTATGACGTCAGCTCAGCCCTGAAAAGGTGCTTGTGAACATTCTGAAAAGCCTTGAGTCTGTAGCATGGCTGTAGACTCTTGGCCTTGATATGTTGACCATTTTTGTCATATAGTAGTTGTAAACATTATTTTAATGAACTGATACAATTTTATAAAACATTTTTGGAAACATAATCTTACTTAGGATTAATCACAAAATCAGTTGATCCTAAAAAGTCAGATACAACGTATAACTTTTTTCTGGGCCGACACATAAAATACCCCTAAGTATTAGGTGAAACTTTACAAACATCATTTTTATAAGCAACTAAATAGTCATTTGTCAAGCCTAATTGATAAAGGGCACATTTTTTCAAATCTATTTGTGTGCTTGGCCTGAATTGCCCAGCACATGGACAAGCTAAGTAGCTTAGCAGCATTACGGGCTCATATTGTTTGGAGTTCAGCTAGTCTAACTTGTAAACCAGGTAACTCACTTTCTATTAGAAAATAGTATGGTAAATAAGTCCTGAAGATGTCAGGTAACCCTTAACCCAGTTTGCCTTTTTATAAAGGCATTATATAATGTTACAGAATAAAGGTACTGTATCAATTTCTTTCAAACATTACATTAAAATAACTTTTATCTGATACTGGTGCTTTCAACCATACGGTCGGTTGTGTTTTCAGAGAATATAATTTTCATATTTCATCAGGGTCTCCACATTTGATAAAAATGTGGAGACCCTGATGAAATATGAAAATTATATTCCTATAATTTTCATATAAGTCCTGATAAAGGGGGCTATGGAGTTGATTTTGAAATCCACCTGGTGGATCCTAAAGAATGCATTATGGGAATTGTAGGATTCAGGGTGTTGTGAGCTTGAGCAATATGCTACTAGAGAATAACATTCAGTATGGATCGTGATTGTACATGCGTGTGTGTTAGTCGTATCATCACCCAACTCTTTGCATCAGTGTAATATCAATTTTTTTATTTTTTATTTGAAAAATAACTTACATAAATCTCTGTACTCAACCATACTTAACCAAGACATAGCCTTGGCATTAACACATTGCACCAAAAAGAGAAAATGAAAAGGCATTCAAAAGGATAAATAACATATGTCTTTGTCATCACGTGAGGCATTCTTCCTGTTCCAAAAGAGTCTATCATCTATTCATGGTAGCTTGTTTATTCAAATTCTGACAATTAAAGGTACAATCAAAATCAAAATCAAAATATATACTGTAGCTTGTTCCAGCCACAAGGACATTAAAACGCATTATCGTCATGTGGAAAAGGAATAATGCCTCAGTTCAATTTCATTCAGACATACTGCAACTATAAGATTCATATACTTCCCAGACATGAGAAGTATTTATAATTACTAAAAATAGAAAATAAAAAATAAACTGGTCTTGGCTTTTAAATAAAACTAACAAAAATATAGTAAATTAATTTCATTTCATTAAAACAAGAAAAAACATTTTCTGTGGCAATATCCCTTGTTATTTGAACTTGTGATTAGCTCATCTTCACAAACAGTGCCTGTGGACTTGAACCACAGCGACACACACATCTCTCGCATGTTTGCTGCCTCTTGATTAGGTATAGACCTCTCGCTGTACCAATACAGATTATTTTTGCATGTTCGTCAACAATACTGAAATAAAATACACTTGCAATCACAACTGTTTCGTCAACCTCCATTAAATATAAAATATTTTCCTTGTCAATTATTTTTTTCTCAAAAACCTGAAAGAAAACATGACCTTGGGGGTGGAATGTCTTTTGTTAAAACTTCAATAAATGGCCGCAGAAGACCAAGAACTAATTTGCTGTAGAGTTCAATTTAAAGGTGAGGGAGAAAAGTAATGAAGTTGACATGCACTGTACAAGAAACTGCAAAAATTCCAAATATCATCTTTATCAAAACATGCTGAGTTACTGTAAGGTGTGCCCAAGCCATGTTGCAGAAAATCCTTTTCAACATGCTTGTTAAACAAATCAAATCCAAAATAAAATACATACTGAAACAGTCCTCAAATCTGGACAATGTCAGGGGACAATGAGAAGTACAATGAGAAGTACCCTGGGACAAGGAAGAAAAAGAGAAACATGTACAATTTGCACATAATGTTTATCTTTATAAGGCATGAGCCTTTTACAATGAAATAAATAATTTACATTTATTTTCATTATCACTTTTTGTCACATAAACATTTTCTGTTAAATAGCTCCAAAAGTTTCCTTTAAGTTTCCCTTATCTGCATGTCTGCTAAACACAGACTCATGAATGGTCTAAAGAATGATAAACAATGCCTCTTTTTTTCATCACGATGTTGCATTCACTCCCCTTGAAAACCATGCACTAGTGACATTTATCTTAAAAATAATATAAATTGTTGAAAATGGCTGATCTGTTTTATTTTTCTTCTTCTTTTTTGCAAGTTGCAGCCTCAAGAAAATAATTTTATTTTTTTTAATTCAGCTAAATTTGTGTCCATGCAAATGAACTAAAAAGGGAAAAAAATATATTTTTCTCATTTATTTTCATACAATATATCAACAGAGAAAGAATGATGGTAGATTGTACATCTTTTCATGGGGTTTCTGTTTGTTCTGGAGTGTTGATGGTAGCCACTTCAATATTGCCTCTGATTCATTTACCAGTACGGGTTGATTCAGTACGTAAACCTAGAGTAACCAGGGTATTTCTTTTGGGGTTTTGGGGGAGTGTGGACACAAGCTGGGACACACCTCACCCAAAGTGATGGTCTCCAAAACTCCATCTACACAGCTAGGTCTGTTGGCGTGGCGTGACCAAGCATCTGGTTAGAAACACTGTCACCCCCTTCAGATACAAGTACATTGACATAAAAAAACAAATAAAAAAAAGGAAACCAAAAAAAAGAAAGGAAAACATTTATTTTCATTCGAAAAGGGCTTCTGTAGAACTCGTTAAGCGGTTCCCAGTGCTGACCCCCATGGCTTCGAATTGGATGAAAACCTGGAACTGACGGATTCCTCGTGCTAAGGAGTTCATTCCAGCTTCCTCCAAACAACAACAACAACACCCGGCATCCCGGCCGCCAGGCGCTTGCGACGCGCTTCGCCTCGTGCACAATGTGCGCAACGTTTTTGCTCAAAACACAGGATCACCTTTTTTGCACCCCTGGAAACAGGCTCAGAAGACACAACATCAAGCATGCAGTGTAACCGGGGGCGTGACCTGTAATCGCAACACTGGCTGCTACAACAACGCTATCATTCCGCACGCTGCTATGATCGAGAGAAACTGTCCAGTGACGATTGGGAAGCTCTTCTTGTCAGTGGGGCCAGAGTAGGGTCCACCAGTGAGGAAGGGGGGAAGAGCTTAAACCAGCCAATCACCATGTTGGACAGGTCCAGCTCATCTAACAGTATCTGAACTGCTCCCATGAAGGATTTATGGTCCATGCGTCCATAGTCGCCCCAAACGATGATCTGCAGAGAAAGAGGAAATAATGAATCAGAAGGACGTTCGCAGTGGAACAGTGAGGAATGATATTGTTTGGTTTCCGGTTCCTCACCTGTAAAACCTTTCCTACTGGACTCTCCTCAAACGGCAGTTGCTGCTGGTAAAGAGGGTCCAAGGTTTTTCTTGCTACTTTTGTTTTCTTTTTGGCTATGCAGACTCCGTTTTCCAAAAGGTAGACCTTTACATATGGTGCTGGGAAGAGAGGAGAGGGGGAATATGTTACAATATGCATCATCTCTTATTCTTACCCCAAAGGTCTTTTAAGTTGAATTTATGATATTAGTGTGATATGACAGAGTGAGCGCTTCAGTTACCTGGCAGTGACTTGGAACCTGGTTTTCCCACAAGGCCACGGGCTCTGATGACCTCCACCTCCAGTGCTCCCTTCTTGTCCACCATGCCAATCTGGATGTCACCTGGATAACAGCGTTGAGAGATTTTTACTTCAAGCACTATAATAACCTCATATTTCACACCATATACAGACAGTATATATAAGTTAGTATGGTATAGGTATTTTAAATGAGATATGCATGCACTCTGATTGTCTGCTTTGCTTTGTGTTCTGTAATGCAATTTAATGTCGTCATATTTAACTGTTTGTACCCAATGTTTGTTATTAGTCAGCTGCATGTTAATTGTCTTACTGCATGAGTTCTGATCCTGTTCAACCGTTCATATTTGGCTTTTTCCTGTTCTGTTTTCATTCAATATTCTTTGAATGGCCAATTGTAACATCAGGCCGTGGGACAACAGTTGAAACTTAGCCTTTTGGCTAGCAATGGCACTTTTACAGTGATGTTGATAATGTGCATTGTCACTAAGGAAAACATAAATACATAATCAAATAATGCATGACTAACACGATTACTAACTTTCCCTCATCAACGTGTTCACTTCTTAGTGCAAAGAGGTATTCTGTGAATAACCAAGGTACTGTATACAATTAATGACTACAAAGGTTGCTGTTCTCACCCATGGGGGGAGTAGCCAACGTCTGTCGTCCAACCAGCTGGGCGGGGCCGAGACCATCCAGGAAGTCGCTGAACTGGGCTTCTGAGGAGAGCCTCACACCGGGGAAGATGAGACTGGAACAGAGAAGACACAAACATGGAGATGAAAGATACAGTTTCATTAAGATAAGACAAATCTGTCGGGGTGCAACGGCTGGAAGGAAGAGTTTGGAATTGTTTGCTGCGTATGTACTAATGCTCTCAGTGAAATAAGGAGCTTTTCGAGCGACCTCAGAATAAGCGTGTCCTTACTTTCCCTCGGAGCTGTAGCTGTTCATGCTGCCGTCTGTGGACTCCCGGCTGGCCTGCCGAGTCATCCTGCTCCTCATCTCCACCGCCAGGCCCGTCTCCGTGCTCCTCTGGATGGTGCTGCGCAGCTTCTTACCCCCTGCTTCTGCACAATGAAGGCCACACGTGGGGGAAGAGAGGAGGGAGGGAGAGGAAGAGCCAAGGAGAGTGTTAATGCATGACACTGCATCATTTTGTGACTCATACAGCGAGTTGCACACACGGATTATAACTGTCCCGCATTCATCTGCTCGTAGAACATTCCTTCCAGAGGGAAACACAACACAAAGACTGTTTGAATGGAAATAGATCTCTCTACCTTTAGTGTAGCTTATTCTGGCCCAAACAAGGTCACTAATTCATCCTCTCTACAGATACCCCCCTCTGGTCTGTGCTACTGACTGCCTGCGGGGGTCTTGTGGGAGCCGTAGCCCATGCTTCCCCCCCATCCTAACTGATCCAAGAAGACAGCTGACTCGGAACATTAGCCCTGCTGCGGCTCCTCTCCACACGGCCTCCCAGTTCCTGTGCTGGACGTACACACACCTACACACACACACCTACACCTACACACACCGATACACACACACACCTACACCGACACCCACACACACACACACACACACACACACACACACACACACACACACACACACACACACACACACACACACACACACACACACACACACACACACACACACACACACACACACACCTACACACACACACCTACACCTACACACACCTATACACACACACACACACACACCACACACACACACACACACACACACACACACACACACCACACACACACACACACACACACACACACACACACACACACACACACACACACACACAAGCTGGCATGTCTGCACAACAAATACATATAAAATGAATTGTGCACAGCTATGGTCAAAGACTAATAATCAAAGTATTATGAAATGTTAATGCACCAATTACAGATCTCATATCTGCAATCAAACCAATACAAGATGAGTTCATCCTGTCATTTCCCAGAGGTCAGATATAAAGTAATAGTTAGTGTCACTTCACTGACGACCCCCAGGTGCGCTGTGACAACCAATGGGCTATCACCTTATGCCACATTTTAATGAACATCATTTCCCAGTGTGTATGGCGTATGAATCAACAACGAAGCATGAATACACCTGTCTTCCCTCTTCCTCCTCTCCTCCTTGTTTTGTCAGAGGAGCAGTCTTATCTCGCACAGGCATGAACAGACATGAAGCCGGTTATTGAGCCGGCCTCCGCCTCCTCTTCCTGCTCTTCACACTTCACAATAGGAGACAAGGCCGTAGAGGTTGTCTCTGACGTCTGTGGCCGACCTGAGCATAAAGAGCTCGACCAATCAGTGGCCTGTGATTAACGAACACTAAAATCACAACATTTCAAGTGAGGGAAATCTTTTTTTTTACTCCCAGCAGTCCTTACTGTATTTACTATACTATCAATAAAGGGGTGATCTTTTGAAATAATAACTAATAAATGTTTCTCTCTGCAAACTGGAATATTATAAAAAAATACACAAAAGTAAATTTAGCAATGGCAGATGAGGTAAATGTGTCACAGACATTATCACCACTGTTTGAAAATACTGGGCAGCCGAACAATGTTGTTAAGTATCTGGCAACACGGAGCAGCAGTGGCCTTAAAGTCAGACAAACTGGCCCGTCACCAAAAGGTCACGACCCTCAAATCCTGGCCATGCCAAGAAAGGAAAAGACAATGAGTGGTGGAGCAGCTCGTAGCCAAACAGTGGAGGTGTGAGGACAAGTGAGTGTAAAGCAAGTGGCTAAAAACAGCTGGTGTCATCAGGCAAAGATACGAGGATAACGGAAGGTATACAAAAAAGAGTACATCATTAATACATGACTAATAGGACCCTGTAAATAAATCAACTAGAATAGGACATGAGATATAAATATAAACACTAACAGGCGTCAGCAGTAGCCTACTTCTCAGGAAATGTGAAGAAACACTCATCGAGGAATGTTGTGTTCTTAAGCTAAATAAACACCCACCACCCACATGGTACTAAGCAGTGATTCATTTCATTTCCATTCATAGCTAGACTTGATATCACGGGGGAATAAGATATTGACTCGCATGAGTAGAATATTAAATCATGCTGGTTCCTGTAGCAGTCTGTGTATTTCACAAGAGATGCAGGCATATAAATCCACTTTGAACTCATATTGTCGCACAAACAAGCATTACATTATATCCTTATTGAACTTCACTTTCATCCAAGCTAATTGCATCTGCCCCAAATCTCCCAACGATCAATACCTCTGCATCTTCCCGCTAATCCTAAATCCATCTCCTCTCTCTGTTTACACAGCACTGCCCCCCCCCCCCCCCCAGCCTGCAGCAGATGATGCTGGGATACTATCCCCAGATCTGGTCTTACCTTCGTCCTCCTCATCAAAGGAGTTCATGCAGGGGAAATAGACAGCCAGCGCTTCGAATGATGCAGACAGGCTCATCTTGCTCTGGGAGCGTGTGATGCGCATCCCGGGCGCCGCGGCGGTGCTCTCGTGTCCCTGCCTGCCCATGGTGACCGGCCGGAGTGCTTCTCAACGCACTGAATTCAACGCACTATTCTTTAGCTATGTTTTTTGTTTTTTAAATCAGTGCAATGTGTTTAATAAATTCCTGAGTGTAGTAGCAGAAGCCTCTATGCTGTAGGAGAGCAGGTTGTCTTGTAGTATGTGCCTGAATACTCTGCAGAAAGGTCTCATGCAGAGCTTCAGAGATGAGTGTCTTCAGTGGCTGAGTCCTGCGCTGTCTGGGTCTGACGTTCCCACTGCACCTCTTTCTTCAGGGGGGAGGGGAGAGAGCTGCAGCGCGCAGCACCAATCAGAGAGCGCTTCGGCTGGCTCTGCGGGTGAGCGAGCTCTACCCGGAGATACTGAGCCCCCCCTCACCCCAGTACTTTTCCCCTCAAATTTGTTAACCTCTTTTTATATCATTTGCTTTCTCTTTTGTGTCCTTCTGCTTAACATTTAGTTTGAGCTTTTCATCGTTGCTATTTTCCCTTTTCTCTCATCCCCTGCCCCCCTTCCCTCCTTTCCCCCATGTTGTCCACACAGGTCAGTGAAAACAAGCTGTCATTAGGTGTGCAAACAGCCCTGGGAGAGGGCTTCAGCCACCTGGCGGCCACTCCGAGTTCACGTGCAAAACTCATTGTTCTCTCATCCGAAAACCAAATGACCACAGCTGTGCGATGTGTTGCCGATCATTTATTTAGCTTTCGCAGGCTGTTTCCAGAGTCGCTGAGGGTGTGAAGTGGATTATTATCATTATATAAAATCTTCTTTTTAAAGCCTCTGTGACACAGCTACACTGAACAAACTGAAACTTTAATTAAATGTATTATGTCAACAGATTTCAGATAACAGTATTAGGTTAGTTGAAAGCAATAATATTGAATGTATTAAAGAATATTAGGTTCAACTTAATATTATTGCTTTCAACTAACTTAATAGTTATCTGAAATCTGTTGACATAATACATTTAATTAAAGTCAACGTTTTTTCAGGGTATTTTGTTTTGCAAAACATTTCCCTTTCAAAACACACTTTCAGACCTCAGATCAGCTCTTTGTTTGAATTAGAGTCCAACTTATCTAAACACTTTTTTCTGTCTATTTCTACCGCTTGAGGACACCCAAGGTCACAACAGTGCTAAGAGTAAAAGGTTCCTCACAGGTGGTCCCTGAAATAACAAATCAGCTATTGGCATGGTGTGTGAGGGGTGACACTTAAAGCAAATGTATGGCATTACATAAACTCCAGCCCCTCTGTTTTCTGTCGCGACAGCAGCTTGGTAGGACATGAAGAGAAAGTGTGTCGCTTTGACAAGTTAACAGAGAACCAAATGTGGTGCTTTTGTTCTGAATATGCGTCTGGCAGAATAGGCACAGCACAATTATGGTGCTTCTCTGCACCATCATAAATATAGCGAGCTCCCTGTAGAGTTGTAGCTGAGTGTTTCACCCTAAGAGACATTGCAACCTACTTCCATGAAAAAGCCTCTCAATGCCTTGTGTCTTTGGCAGGTTTCATCTAGGTCAGTACACACAAAAACACTTCTGCAGCGAAGGGAACATTGGAATAACACACAGTAAGAATACAAACAAATGATTATTCGTTATCTGTCACCTTATTTGATCAAAGAAAATTATGTAAGGCTCCTGCTAACTCAGATAGTGACATTAACCTATATAGTGTGTATATTATAATGAATCTAAAACACAGCTCATTGTAGGAAGTTATTTGTTCAAAAGAATCACATAGTTTGAAGACTTTCAGTTATACTAGCAGTGTGGTGACAACTACTGAGTAGAAAATAATTGGGATTTTATACATTTTATGGTTCCCTAGAGGTTTAAGCTAACATCTCTTGTAGAAGCATCGGCAGGTTGACATTATTGGTTATTATTTATGACTTAACGACTATTAAAAGGACTGCTACTCAATTCAATATACATGAAACCAAAGAATGAATCCTAATGACTTGGCTGATCTGCTGGATGGATTCCCAAAAAACACACATTTAGGTTGAATTGTGTCATTTTCATCTAGCATTGTCATGGTCAACATAACAATATTAGAGGACTTGTTTTTGATCAAACCTCATTTCGATCCTCCTCAGCCTACCTTTGTGTTTAGTTGAGAGACAACCTCTGGGTCAAATAGGTGACGCCAATGTGTAAGTGTTTTAAACATGCATTCCATCCAATCATATTGGTTGCAAGAAGAAGCCCAACTGTATGGAAGTCTACGAAAAAATGTTGTGTGTTTATATCCAGTAAGCATTTTCCTGAAGAGTTTATGGTCTCAACTGTTATTGGTACTTTTAATAAGAGCCTGATGTAAATGTGTCTATTTATGGTCCAATTTAGAGTAAAATGGAAGATAAAGCATTGTACACTTTAGGGCGTGGCTAACTTTTGATTGACAGGTAACTATCACAGTCTGGGTGCTATCTGTGTTTCCGCATTACAGCTTTTACTCTTTCACTGTGTGTTTCAAGTTAATACAATGTCATTGTTTGCCCTCTTGAAAAATGTCT